TTATGTAAGGTATGTTTCATGATTACCTGATGTTGGGAGGACAATGCACTTTTGGTTGCTGGTTGGTCTTGCTTGAACTTTTCTTATTCTTATCTTAGTGTGATCACTTCCTTTTTGACTTATGATGTATATACTTATATATTTGAAAACCCTGTGGTCTCTGCACATACAAAGTATGTGTCATGACTCGTGAGCTTCTTCTTTCTTTTGTTGTAAATTCATATATTTGGAATGTATGTTTTACAATTTTACTTTCTATGATTTACTTGTATGCTCAGCTAAATGAAATTACACACAAGCAACAGATATACGAATACACTGAAGAAAGCAAATATCTTTCTCTCTTTCTCAGTATTCTCTCAATGTTCTTTTTATTTGTTTTTTGAATTATTTATTTGTACCTAAATAATTTTTAGTTTTATTACACGTTATCAGCATGAGAGCTAGTCAATTGAGTCACAACGAATAATATTCTATATCTGGGAGGTAGAATCTGGTATATGAATTTATCAGTTTTAATACATGTTATGAGAAGAACATGATATGAGTGTTTGTTGTCCTATTTTTAGATTGCCATTATATTTAAAATAGTGTCTAACACACGTACCTAAAACACATAAATTGTGTACCTAAATACATAAAGACTTAATATAAATTGTTTGCTAAAACTTCTTACCTTAATCAATCACGAATTAGAAGTCTAGCGTGTTATAAAACTAGCAAATTATTTAGGCGCAAATGCCTAATTCAAAAAGCATATAGAGAGAATACTGAAAGAGAGAGAGGTATATTTCATTCGCTGCATCTCTTCCTTCCCCAGAGTCTCCATTTTATTGTGAAAACTACATCTGATGGTTGAGTAGGTAGATAATAAATTTAATGACATAATGGCAGTGGGCATCCGCCTACATACCATGTTATAAAACTATTACATTATGAAAATAATGTAAAGGAAGACTCCGGGTAAGGAAGAGATGTATTGAATGAAATAGATCTCAATCTCTCTCTTTCAGTATTCTGTCTATTTTTTTTATGAATTAATTATTTGCACCAAATAATTTGCAAATGTTTTATTATAACACGTTTGCAAATTATGTAGGTGCCAATAACTAATTCAAAAGGCAAATAAAGAGAAACAGAGAAAGATATTTTCTTTCTTCAATGCCTTCGTATATATGTTTCTTGTATATAATTTCATTCAGCTGAGCATGTCTTATAAGCCAAATTTACAAACTATTCAACATCGTTCATAGAGTAAGAAAACAATGGAGTCGATGAAATATAATGGCAGTGGGCTTCCACCTACATGCTAACGTTTTCAACACTTCCCCTTGGATGATCATGTAAAATAGTGTTAGTTGCACAAACGTTGTCTCATTAAAACCTTGTTAGTAAAACACAGTGGATAAAAATTGGACAAAGGAAAAAGGGTACGGTGTGCAGATTGTCTAGTTGGTATCCTAAGTATTGTCTTGTTAAAAACTTCGGTAAGTAAAGTCTAGTGGCAAAAAAAAACCTTAGCGAAGGAAAAAAGTGTATAGGCCTTCTCCTGTTCAATATATTTGACCAAGATGATGATTATTCAGCTTGATAGATCTTTGAGATATTGCATTTCAATTTCGTTCACCAATTTATGAGATGTAATCAGTGGGAGTACTTTAATGAATAAATCAGTCAAATTTTTGGCTGAACAAATTTGTTGAACCTTAATATCGTCATTCTTCTTTAGCTCGTAGGTGTAAAAGAACTTGGATGATATCGCATTTGATATATCTTTTCTTGAGTTATGTGATACAAGTTGTGTTATCCTCGTATAGTATTGTTGGAATGTCTTTCATTGAAGATAGTTGTGTAATACAATTCCTGCATCCAACACTATCGTAAGTGGTCATCCAAGGGAGAGTGTTCAAAATATTAGCATGTGGATGGATGTCAATGTTCACTGTCATTATATTTCATTGACTTCATTGGCTTCCTACTCTACTGACGGTGTTAAATATTTTCTGAACTTTACCTATAAAAGCCATAATCAGCTGAATGAAATTACACACAAGATACAAATATACAAATACACTGAAGAATAAAATCTCTCTGTCTTTGTATTCTCTCGGTGTTCCCTATATTTGTTTTTCGAATTAATTATTTGCACCTAAATAATTTATTAGTTTTATAACATGTTATCAGCATGTGGGCCAGTCAACTAAGTCACAATTGAATAATATTCTATATCTGAAAGGTAAAATCAAGTATATGAATTTATCAATTTTAATTAACACCATACATGTTTTGAGAATAGCATGATATGAATGTTTGTTGTCCTATTTTTAAACTGTTATTATATTTGAAATAGTGCTTTCAGTGCATAAATTGTGTATTGAAGTACATAAAGACTTGATATAAATTATTTGCTAAAGCTTCTTACTTTAATCAATCACGAATTAGAAATCTATCGTGTTATAAAGCTAGCAGATTATTTAGGTACAAATGACTAATTCAAAAAGTAAATAGAGAAAATACTGAAAGAGAGAAAGAGATAAAGATCTATTTAATTTGGTGCATCTCTTCCTTCCTCGGAGTCTCCCTTTTACTGGGACAACTACATTCGTTGGTTGAGGAGTTGAATAATAAATTTAATGACGTAATGACTGTGGGCATCCACGCATATGCCATGTTTTTAAACATATTTATAAATAGATTTATTTGATCACAAAGTTATATAAAACAAAATAATCGAGTTAGATAAAAATAAAATACACTCAATAAATTGATGTCATTAGTAGCGGTTGATCATGTGTACTCAAAATATTCAATATCTTCATTTAATTTCACGTGTGAATTTTAAGATTACATAAAGATATTTGTTTATTTGATTTGACAAACTTGAGAAAACATACTCCATATTTTATGTATCAAATATTATACTACGACAATATCGAACAATGGGTTCAATACATGCAGTGACTTCATATCGTATCTCTTACTTGTGACCTCATATCGTATCCCTAACTTGCTGAGAAGAATAACGAATTGCTAATGAGGAAGCATAAGGCTCGTCCAACTGGCTACCAAGTCTTTTCAAAAAGACTAACATCTTTTCATGGTCAAAGATGAGGTCATGGTTATGGTCATGGAAAAAATTAACATAATCATTTCTGTAAGGGTTATCATAGCGACCCCAAGTCCTTCACATCAAGTCGCAATGAAAAAATGCTTGACACTACTAGAAGTGGTACAACCATAGTAAATAAAAGAAAGAGAATAGTTTGTCAAATAAACTCTCTAAGAAAATTAAATATGTTTGTTATATATGTGGAATGAAATGACATTGATTGCGTACCTGCTATATGCTGAAACATTTGACATATCTCTATCAAAAATCCGTTGAGAGAACAAAAAAGTTGATAGAGACGAATTTTAGTGCGGGGACATCAGGCACCGCCTTCATTGATTATCCATCAGATTTTACTAATCTGGATTTTTCTGACTTCTTTGTGAACCCTAACGGAAATGAAATGAAAAAATAGAATATGAATATTATCTTAAAGCAATAATTTGTATGTATGTCTATTAGTTTTGTCTATGTGTGTCATTTATTTTTGTAATATAATAGTTTTATAACATGACATGTGAGTGGATGCCCACTGTTATTATTTCATTAATTTATTATCTAACTCCTCAACCAACAAAGTGTTGTAATTTTTTTATAGGAGATTTCAGGCAAAGAAGAGATGTACTGAATCAAATAGATCTTCATCTCTCTTTCAATATTCTCTCAATTTGTTTTTTGAATTAGTTATTTGCACATAAATAATTTGCAAACGTATTATAGCAAATAATTTAGGTGCAAATACCTAATTCGCAAAGCACATAACGATAACACATTTTCTTTCTTCAATGTATTCGTATATCTGTTTATTGTGTGTAATTTCATTCAGCTTTGCATATCTTTTATAGAAAAAATTTACAAACTATATTCAATACTGTTGATAGAGTAAGAAGACAATGGAGTCGATGAAATATAATAGTAGGCATCCACCCACATGCTAATATTTTTAACACTCCCCTTTGGATGACCATGTAAGATAGTGTTAAATGCATGAGTACTGTCTCATTAAAACCTTGCCAGTAAAATCCAATCGGATAAAAACTGGACGAAGGAACAGTGTGCAAATTGTCAAGTTGGTATCCTAAAACTACCTCGTTAAAAACCTTACTAAGAAAAAAATCTTAACAAAGGAAAAAAGAGTACAAGCCTCTCCTTATTCCTTGTTAAATATATCCGGTCAAGATGATAATTGTTCAGCCCGATAGATCTCTGAGATGTCACATTCTGATTTTGTTCACCAATTTATGAAATGTAGTCGGTAGGAATGCCTTAGTGAACAAATCTATTAGATTTTCGGTTGAACGAATTTGCTGAACATTAATATCACAATTCTTCTCTAGCTCATGAATGTAAAAGAATTTTGGTGATATATGTTTTATTCTGTCAACTTTGATATATCCTTCCTTGAGAAGTGTGATACAAGTTGTATTGTACTTGTATAATATTGTTGGAATGTCTTTGATTAAAGGTAGTCCACTTTGCTCTTAAATGGTCTAGTTGTGTGATACAATTCCTACATCTAACACTCATCCAAGGGTGAGTGTTGAAAACATTGGCATGTGGGTGGATGGCTACCACTATTATATTTGTCTTCCTACTCTACTGATGTTGTTGAATAGTTTGTAAACTTTGTCTATAAAAGACATGCTTAGTTGAATGAAATTACACACAAAAAATAGATATACGAATACCCTGAAAAAAGAAAATCTATTTCTTTCTTTCTCACTATTCTCTCAATATTCTGTCAGTGTTCTCTCTATTTGTTTTTCGAATTAGTTATTTGAACCTAAATTATTTGCTAGATAACAGAGTCAATTTTTTAGAATTCTCTCTATTAATTAGTTTTTTTAGTGCTGCTGCATCATGGAACACACTCAGGTCTAGTTCAAAGCCTATGGCTTTCTTAGCATTCTCTCATTTTTCTCTCAGGAAAAGCATGACAGAATGTGATCCTCGTCTTGTGGCCCCAACCTGTTTGTACTTGGCAGCAAAAGCAGAAGAAAGCACAGTGCAGGCTAGGCTCCTTGGATTTTACATCAAAAAATTATGTAATCACTTGTTATCATTCTTTTGAAAATCAAAGAAGTACTTAATTACCATCTATGAGCCTTGTGTTTTGCTTTTGCAGATTCAGCTGAAAAATATAGGTGTGAAATAAAAGACATACTCGAAATGGAGATGAAGATTTTGGAAGCACTCAACTATTATTTAATTGTATACCATCCTTACCGTGAATTGTCTCGGTGAGTATATTTTCTACATGTCACAAGTATTTAATTTGGCCTTGATGTATCCTTGATAAAATAAGGCTCTCTTGCAATGGATCCCATCTTTGTGACTCCCATTCCAATCCGTTCATTTCTGTCATTCTGTTAATCCATTCATTGTGACTTTTATGGGCCTAAAAGTCTTACCATTTTCTTATTTTTTTCCTGTAGTTTGTTATTATGTCTATGGCTATGTGCCAAGCCATTTAAAAAGGCAGCATTCAAGACCATTGTCTAACATAACATGATATTTTTTTTGGTCACAACATAACATAATATTCAATGTCTATGAATTGGTCATATGGAGGTGTTTCAGACTCTAGTGTTAAACGTACATAGGTGGTTGTATCATGAATTGATTTGCTATGATGCACTATGAATAATGTGGCACCTAAAACTGGTATGCACCATCCAGCTCCAGGATTATTAGACACTTAACATGAACAATTTAAATACCTGTTATATTGTGTGTGTAACTAAGCATGGAGTTCTAGCAACTTCGCAGACTTTGTCAGGGATCTTTATCTGATTCTAGCAGCTCCAAGTGACCTTAGGACCCACTGATTCCATTTACTTGAGGCATGGATATTTTTTTTTTTTCCGCCTCAACTTGGTGTCCCTTATGTGCTGTCAGCATAAGTTTTCTTTAGAATGATTCTTAACTAATGGTTTCTCCTCTCTCTGGCTCTCTTTCTCAAGACAGGTTGCTTCAGGATGCTGGCATGAGTGATGCGACTCAATTAACTTGGTAAAAACCAATTTTCAGTTCATTAACTCTAAATTTCCTATCGAAATGTGATGGTTGAAAGCTGGGGAAAAATTCATTGTAGGGCTCTTACTTTGGCAAGTTGATTGGTGCAGGGGACTTGTCAATGACACCTATAAGATGGATCTAATTCTTATACATCCACCGCACCTAATTGCATTAGCCTGCATATATGTAGCAAGCGTGCTCAAAGATAAAGAGAACACTGCCTGGTTTGAAGAGCTCCGAGTCGATATGAATTTAGTAAGTCCTTGTTACTAAATCTTCAATCAGCTGCACGTTTTATATCTCCTTATTATTGATGAATACATTAAACCCTATTCTAGAAATCCACTCTGTACCCGATGCATTTTTGTCAGAAGGTGTGGCCTGCACACTGCGGGTTGCCCTACCCAAAAACTCTGAACCTTGTGTCCCTTGATGACAAGTTGAACCCTGAAACCTTTCCTTGAAGTTGGGAGCATGAGAAACCTTCTGATCTCAACACCTTTGTTTCATTCTGTAAATATTTCAGGCGTTCAACTTATTCAGTGGTATGAGATGACTGACCCATTCTCATAGGTGAGGATGTGGTTCGTACCATAATTTCTTTTTGTTTTTCACTTCATCTGTTTAGCAAAACTTGAACCGGTTCAGAATTAGTAGGTATAATTTTATTGATGCCCATGTTTACAAATTAGCCCATTTCTAAGTTTTGTAACTTTTTTGTGTAGTAAGAAATTATAATACGGGACCGAATATTGGGCAATTAAAAAACAACATGCTCAAAATTAAGTGTTGTGGAGATGAGAATATTAATATAGATGTGGTAAAACGAGAAATGAGTATATGTGTAAAACAGTAAAAGTAGCACCAATAGGCGAAAGTGAAAGAGAATCGACTTTGGTAGTTTAGACATGTTTATAGAAGATCTAATAATGTACCGTTAAGGAAGAGTCATTTGATGCATGTCGATGGTAATGCGAGAGATAAAGGTAGGTCTGAAATAACTCTGAACGAAATTGTAAAAAATGATAAGAGGGCAATGGAACAAGATTCATGTAACCAACCTCAAATAGCTGGGATTAGGGATTTGTTGAGTCGAGTTGAGTTGTAAAAAATTATAATATGAGCAAAAAGGGGCAAATTAAGGAAACTGCAACAAAGCCCTTAGATCAGACGGGCAATCTGTCGCAGCCAAGCTATTAACAAGTATGTGTATGTAGATTACGACCAATACTTGGTAGTGTTCAAATTGACAAACTTTGTGCCATCTAGTGGTGTTTGTTGACAAGAATCTTCTCTTGCACTCCTGTCTATCTAAGAACATCTATCAGGCAAAGTTTCTTATCTATACTGATTTGTTTCTTAATAAATTCCCTTCAATTTACTTTTGCCTTCAGTTAGATCTGCATATAGATTCTTGAGGAATTTCTTCAACCAGATTATTCTCTATTCAATTAACAGCAAGAACTGTGTGCTGCATGTGAATTCTCCTGTCTCATTCTTGAGAGAATTTAGTTTGGCGGGAGTGTAGACATTTATGCCTATCAAGGCTCTCTGCTAGATTTTTTCCGATTAGCTCATGTAACCATGTCATTTTTTGTTTCGCTATGAAAGAAACAAATGAATGGCAATGACTTGTTATATCCTTCTGATGCCCTCATTAGATTCATTAATTAGCTGTATTGGAGTCTCTAACATGCTCCATTATAGTTTCATTGTGTGCCTGATTAGGGCTTATGTTTAGGTTTAGAGAATGCTCTTTTAAGCGTCTAAATCCTGAGTGTTGGTTTTTTACTGATTTTGACAGGTGAAAATTATCGCGATGGAGATATTAGATTTCTACGACAGCCACAAAATGATCACAGACGAGAGGGTAAATGCTGCCATGAACAAGCTCGCTTTCAAGTAATAGATAGTTGGGCAAGTCAGCAAACTTACTGTCTAATTAATCTGTTTCCTACTCTATCTCTAAAGCCACTTCCGCTTTTTGATGGGGCTAAAATGCTTAAGATCAAGTCAAGCAGGGTTTACATTTCCCGTTGAGTCATGTTCGTGTACTATTATTACCAAAAGGAAAAAATTTGGAGATACAGAAAACTGGGTTACCTATTTGAGGCTCTGAGGTACGAAACTCACAAATTTTATTTTTTTATTTATTTAAAAGAAGCAGTTAACTAATGCCTGAGTCATTTCTTGTGAAATTCTATCGCTTTCTGGGAACTGTTTGTCAATAATGTGAATTTGTTTTGAAAAGTTTCAATATATTGAATGAAATCTGCTGCTACTAGAAGAGCGATGGCCTCGGACTAGGGTCGAGGAAAGGAGAAGGAGAAGCTACCTAACTTGATGAGATAATAGGTACTATAAGGTAAAGAGGCTTATTGCTACACACAAAGGAACATAAATGAATTACATAAAACATTTTCCAGAAACTTCCCACAACATTTTTTTGTCGCCGACCTTGATCTGCATATACAAAATGCCTGCTTTGCAAGTTATAAAACCTTTTACAAGATCGGGCAAAACTATACTTGACGTCAAATAAAGAAAATAAACTCGGGGTGTGTGTGCGCGCGCCTCTGCCAGAAACTATGGACGAAAAGTTGTGCAACAGGAAGAAGCAAAAACCAAAGTTGATCACTCTTCAACAAATTTGGATCTGAAGAAACATTAGCAGCCGCCGGAGACATTAGATGGGGCAAGTAGCTCAAAAATTGTTATTAACCTCATCATTTCTTCTTTCCCTTCTTTTTGGCCTCCTGCTTTGCTGCTCAACATGTCATGTAAATTTATCAAAACAAATATTGGTAAGATCATATTATTACAATAAGAAAGCATAGAGGAAATGGTGACTACCTAATCTCTTTTTAGCTTCCGATTTGGCGAAGAATTCCCTCCATTCATCAGTCAGAACGAAAACTGGATCGTCCTCCTCGTCTTCTACTTCTAGTTCCTCATTCTCATCTTGCATCATCCTATTTACCAGCAAGTTCCATATCACATCAATTGAATAGGTGAAAAATAATCTTTGAATCCCCAGACAACTACATTTTAAATTCAGCAACAAAAATAAACAAATTTACTAAAGCAGGTTTGAGTGGACATCATGGCTTTCCAGGTCTCAGCCACTCCAAGGTTCAAATTTCAGATTGCTTTAAATTTTCAATCATTTTCACTTAAAGCCAAAGGAAATTCACAAAGAAAAGNCGTCAAATAAAGAAAATAAACTCGGGGTGTGTGTGCGCGCGCCTCTGCCAGAAACTATGGACGAAAAGTTGTGCAACAGGAAGAAGCAAAAACCAAAGTTGATCACTCTTCAACAAATTTGGATCTGAAGAAACATTAGCAGCCGCCGGAGACATTAGATGGGGCAAGTAGCTCAAAAATTGTTATTAACCTCATCATTTCTTCTTTCCCTTCTTTTTGGCCTCCTGCTTTGCTGCTCAACATGTCATGTAAATTTATCAAAACAAATATTGGTAAGATCATATTATTACAATAAGAAAGCATAGAGGAAATGGTGACTACCTAATCTCTTTTTAGCTTCCGATTTGGCGAAGAATTCCCTCCATTCATCAGTCAGAACGAAAACTGGATCGTCCTCCTCGTCTTCTACTTCTAGTTCCTCATTCTCATCTTGCATCATCCTATTTACCAGCAAGTTCCATATAACATCAATTGAATAGGTGAAAAATAATCTTTGAATCCCCAGAGAACTACATTTTAAATTCAGCAACAAAAATAAACAAATTTACTAAAGCAGGTTTGAGTGGACATCATCATGGCTTTCCAGGTCTCGGCCACTCCAAGGTTCAAATTTCAGATTGCTTTAAATTTTCAATCATTTTCACTTAAAGCCAAAGGAAATTCACAAAGAAAAATCGGACTTCAATGTGCCAAGGAACATTATGTTCGAAGACACCAAATTAGCTCAGTCTATGTGTTTCTGCAGCACATTGTCATAAGAGCTTCAAAATACACCCCACAAGGAGAGGCTTTGTTTCGCTCACGATACAAGTAAAAAAAAAAATGAGAAGATCTTAAAAAAGAGATTTCGGGCTTCTACCCAATAGTCTCCCATAACTTACCGACCTGTGAAAGGAAGGATCTCTCGAAGGGATAGCAGGACCAATTGAAAATCAAGCGGTTATTAATGGCTTGGAAAGAAAGATGGACTAGGTTTTCTTCGCTAAGTTTAGAAAGGAGTTGTTCGCCTTGGGGCTGTACTATTCTCCTCTCCCGTGTCAGGTTTGAGGGGGTAGGCACTTCTTACAGGTATTGGGCAATCGTGTGAAAGACATTGAAAGATAGGAAGAATGGTAGAAGCGGAAAAGAAAAAGAAGAGCTCTATACCTATCACCAACCAGCCTAAAATTTTTTTTTTCGTTACCCTCAACAGCACACCGAGGATAAAAAAGCCCTTTTTCTTCTTTATCTATTCTCTCTACTTGAAGAAGCTATTACAGTAGTCCCCAGCATCACCAGTTCTGTTTTTTGATCCGACATTATTACAGGGAGAGGAGAACGATGTTCGAACCCGCAACAAGGGGCGGTCATGATGCCATTAGTACTTAAAATTTGATTTTCTCTCCAGCTTAAACTACAAACTTCTGTCTAGTGCTTCAAATTCCTTGAGACACATGTATCATTTCCATTTGAAGAAAGGATGTGACTTCTTCTATTTGCAATAAAAAAGGCAAATCGGTCATGCTCCAAAGTTGAATTAACAAATTCATCAACTTAATTTCTCCATTCAAAGAAATNCTATTTGCAATAAAAAAGGCAAATCGGTCATGCTCCAAAGTTGAATTAACAAATTCAGCAGAAATCATCAACTTAATTTCTCCATTCAAAGAAATTACTGATCACTTTCAAGGAAAAATTTCTCAAGAACCCACCAATGAGAACCCCTTATTGTGAGATAATTCAATGCAAATAAGAAAAATATTACATACCCAATTGATAAAAATAAGTTTAAACTGATAGAAACAACTTTTAACTGATCTTAACTCAACAGTAAGAATATGAAGAACGATGTTCAAGAAACACTTACAAGGCATCGGCCAGAGTTCCATCGGTCTCAGAAAGCTGCAAGTTCAAATGATTTGCAGACGTAACAGAAGGAACTGGTTCTGGGTTTTGAGGTAGGGAATGAGGAGAAACGAATAAAGGGCATGCCTTGGAGTGACTGTTTGGCTGGAGAAGAAAGCCATGAAGTGGACAGTTGGGTAACAAGTGGTGGTGGCGGTGGCNGAATGAGGAGAAACGAATAAAGGGCATGCCTTGGAGTGACTGTTTGGCTGGAGAAGAAAGCCATGAAGTGGACAGTTGGGTAACAAGTGGTGGTGGTGGTGGTGGTGGAGTGGGCATGGCCTAAAAACGCTGTCTCTCTCTGACGAATCCATGGTGGGTGTGCTGTTGGGAGATAGCGTGGGGTATATATACTATTACTAGGGTTTATTGGGTTTACAGTGACGTCTTTATTTCTTAATACGGGTCGGGTCGCAGGATTTGTTGGTGTTTTGATTGGGTTTTTTGAGGAAGGCTGTTTGGGCTCTTCAAAATAAGACTCAAACGCAATTGGCTGTTCAAACCAAATTGTATTATTGGGTTACACCTTAGGGGCTCGTCTGGGAGCCCATAAATGGGAGAAAGGTCTGGATAATACTGGGCTTGACAGACCTTATGAAATGCTGGAGTGGTTCGACANTAACTCAACAGTAAGAATATGAAGAACGATGTTCAAGAAACACTTACAAGGCATCGGCCAGAGTTCCATCGGTCTCAGAAAGCTGCAAGTTCAAATGATTTGCAGACGTAACAGAAGGAACTGGTTCTGGGTTTTGAGGTAGGGAATGAGGAGAAACGAATAAAGGGCATGCCTTGGAGTGACTGTTTGGCTGGAGAAGAAAGCCATGAAGTGGACAGTTGGGTAACAAGTGGTGGTGGTGGTGGTGGTGGAGTGGGCATGGCCTAAAAACGCTGTCTCTCTCTGACGAATCCATGGTGGGTGTGCTGTTGGGAGATAGCGTGGGGTATATATACTATTACTAGGGTTTATTGGGTTTACAGTGACGTCTTTATTTCTTAATACGGGTCGGGTCGCAGGATTTGTTGGTGTTTTGATTGGGTTTTTTGAGGAAGGCTGTTTGGGCTCTTCAAAATAAGACTCAAACGCAATTGGCTGTGCAACCCAAATTGTATTATTGGGTTACACCTTAGGGGCTCGTCTGGGAGCCCATAAATGGGAGAAAGGTCTGGATATTACTGGGCTTGACAGACCTTATGAAATGCTGGAGTGGTTCGACACATATGACAAGATTTGTCGAGGCAGGGGACCACGTCTGGTTGCGACCTTTAAATATTAAATAAATAGATAATTAGACTAGCGTCTCTCGTTTGGTGTATAAATTAATTTTAATTCTACCAAATTTTTAATATAAAAAACTCCTCCAACATTTTAAAAAAATTATATGCGGTCCTTGGGTGGGCGCTAAAGTATTCGGGTTGGGTAGTTAGTATTTTTTCATTACCTAATTTGTCATCATCACATGATTTCAGCCTAAAATCTAGTTAATTTTCCTTTTATGCGTTTATTATTAAAAATTTTGTGGTGTTGTATATCAGTTTTGAATTTCAAATATATGAACCAAACAATTTGAAATATATTGGTCGTGTAGCTTAAGTGTAGTTTTGGTAAATATATAAATTAGATCGCAGCAGTTAAGTTTAATGTACTTATGTAAATGTAATGACATTTATTTATCTTCTTTTGAATTAAACAACTATGTACATATATCGTGGATGTATATATTTATTCATATATTGTGCTTGAATAATTGTGTATATTATTCACTGTATAACCACCAAATAGGGTGATCTAGTGGGGTATCGGTCTTACTTCTCACCTTAAGGTTAGGAGTTCGAGTCTTGGAGTTCTTATTGAAGCTTTGATGGTTGGTCGTTATGCTAGCCTAGTCNTCTGGGAGCCCATAAATGGGAGAAAGGTCTGGATATTACTGGGCTTGACAGACCTTATGAAATGCTGGAGTGGTTCGACCCATATGACAAGATTTGTCGAGGCAGGGGACCACGTCTGGTTGCGACCTTTAAATATTAAATAAATAGATAATTAGACTAGCGTCCCTCGTTTGGTGTATAAATTAATTTTAATTCTACCAAATTTTTAATATAAAAAACTCCTCCAACATTTTAAAAAAGTTATATGCGGTCCTTGGGTGGGCGCTAAAGTATTCGGGTTGGATAGTTAGTGTTTTTTCATTACCTAATTTGTCATCATCACATGATTTCAGCCTAAAATCTAGTTAATTTTCCTTTTATGCGTTTATTATTAAAAATTTTGTGGTGTTGTATATCAGTTTTGAATTTCAAATATATGAACCAAACAATTTGAAATATATTGGTCGTGTAGCTTAAGTGTAGTTTTGGTAAATATATAAATTAGATCGCAGCAGTTAAGTTTAATGTACTTGTGTAAATGTAATGACATTTATTTATCTTCTTTTGAATTAAATAACTATGTACATATATTATGGATGTATATATTTATTCATATATTGTGCTCGAATAATTGTGTATATTATTCACTGTATAACCACCAAATAGGGTGATCTAGTGAGGTATCGGTCTTACTTCTCACCTTGAGGTTAGGAGTTCGAGTCTTGGAGTTTTTATTGAAGCTTTGATGGTTGGTCGTTATGCTAGCCTAGTCAGGTCTGGTCCTAAGAGGTGTGTCATGCACAGTATGTCTTATGATCCCACCGGTGAGGTCGCTGGGCACTATTCTTTGCCTCTATCCCTTTTTTTCTCAACAAAAAAAAAAATTGTTCATTGTATATGATATATTTGTGTACCTATGTAAACACATATATATTAATTGTGTACATGTTGTGTATGTTAATACAATTTTTTTTGCGTAATTATGAATGTTTTTTTAAGCGTAATTACCTTTCATATTCAATTATTAGTTTTGTTAATGATGGATACGTAACGATTGTGATAAAAAAAATTATCTGTTTATGTGCTATATTTTGTTAATTTGTATATGTTTTGACGGTTTACATAATTTTGAAGTGTATTTTAGTTTTATGTATTTGTCTATGTGTAATTGCATATATGTATATACTTATTCGTTAAATAATTATGTACTTATCGCATAGATGTATATTTCGTAGGCCTGGCAATCGTGTACAGTGAAACGAGTTTGTGTTAAAAAACTCTTAATTCATACCCCATTCGTTTATATAAACAAATCCAACTATTACACTCATATACGAATCATTTATTAGACGGGTTACCCGATGTACCCGTGTGTCACCCGCTGAATAAGAAAATATGTTAGAGTATTTCGAGTACACACGAAAAATTATCCATTTGCTACATATTACATATGTTTGACTTGTTTATTACAACAATAAATCAAGATTGAGCAAAAAAATAAAGACAAAAAATAAGCATTAAATGACTATTAAATTTGAATGAGTTTAAGGGATGAGAGGTGTGAGATGAGACAGAGGCTCAGAGACCTAACTTTTTTTTAAAAAAAATTATAGTATAACTATTAAAAGGGTTAAAACGAGTTTATGGGTTAAACACGAAATTGATTTATTTATTTTACGGGTCTGCCGAGTTAATCCGTTAACCATCCGAACACGTTAAGACTATACTCAAACCCGCTAAATCCGTGTCAGATTTGTGTTGGTTTCATGAGTCATGTCTAAAATTGTCAGGTCTAATATTTTGTATAATGTACTTGAATGATCGAATATATTGTTCATCATTTTTTTTTAAAAAAGAGTCAACAAATATGAGGGAATATTTTATTAAGTTCAAAATTACACTTTAGAGGGATGGACATGGCTCTAACCCCTTAAATGAATTATTTATAGCATATTCAAATTTGAAAGAATTTAAAAAGAGATGTTGGATTGGATTTTTGAATTTGTAGGAAACCTTTGAATTCAAAAAGGAAATATCTCGGTTGTCTTGGATAGTGCCTTTCTTACTTAAAACTCTCATATGGCGTTGATCATGGAGGAGGAGAAGTGGCGTTGATCATGGAGGTGGAGAAGTCTTGCTTCAGTAGGAAGAAAAATTGCTAATGTTGTACACAAAATTAAATTATCATAAATACACAAAATTATAAATTAAATATTATATTTCATTCGTAAAAGAGATATTAAATATGGGTTTATTTGTTTTATATTTTAAAAAAAAAAGAAAAAAAATCATTTTTTGAGGTCTTTCGATTCTACCTCAAGTTTCTTCGTTTTTTTCTTCTCCTTTTTGTAGTTTTTTGTTGAAGGATTTTGTCATTTTCTTCCCTCGTCTTTTTTTTATTGGACATGTAGAGTTCGGATTCGAAATAGTCGATATTAACTTGCATGCGATCTTGTTTTGCGTTGACATCGTCCAAAAAACATGAAAGTATTTGTATGTTAGTTTATGTTCTTTGCTGCCTTGACTGTTCCATTTTTTCTTGTATTTTTGTTCTGAATTTTAGATTCGTTATTTATAGAAATATTTTCCATAGGGTAGATGAAAATGTTTAAATGTATGTTATTATGGTGTTAGTTTTGTAGTTAATCGAAAAAACATTTGATCTCAATGTATCTGTTGTAGAGATACACTGAATGCAACTATTATTAGTAAATATAACTTAATGTACTTTCAAACATGTAGTTAATAAGTACATTAATCAAGGGCATGCCATTTTTTTTAATGTATTTATCTGACGATTTATATTTTTTGGAACGAAGATAGATTATAATAAGGTAAGTTTTTAGAATGAGCAATGCTAGATAGACTTAAAAATTATAAATTTTATGATCTTAATCATTGAATAAGTAGTGTGTCTTATGCTGAGACCTACAGTGAAATCAATGATTGTAATTATCAAGTCTAATTTTTAAGTTTATGTTTTAAATCTATGTAGTATTGCTCTTTTAGAATAAGTATTTTAATTATATGATGACATTGTTGTAATTTTTATATTTTTAAAGTGCGTTAGTTATAATTATTTTTTTGATTTTTCAATAGAGATTTAATCTAAAAAAAAATTGACGAGTGAGTTTTGAAATCTTATTGGGCCTAGAGACCGACTTCAAAAAAACTTATAAATAAATCAGTGGTCTAAAAGGGAATCTTACTCAACATATTCTTTCAGTGTGCTATTAATAATTACCATTGGATAAACTTTAGGTTATAAAAATATATTATTGCTATTTGGCGGCATGTGGGTTTATTCCTGAAGTAAAGTATAACATAGGATTTGAATATGTTCATTTGAAATCTGGATTCCTTCTACTTATTTTTTCTTAATTGAATATTCCTCTCTCTTTTTTTTATATCATTCTTTATGTCTGTTTGATCTTTTAGAATTTGACCCTAGTACAAAATAAATCAAATTAATTTTTTGATCAAAAGTATTATATAAAATCTTCCATTTCTCCTTCTTCCTATATCACATAAGTACGATGTTTGACTCAATAGAAATTTTTTTCTTTCGCATGAATTGATATTATTCTATTTAATTCCTTCTTAATAAATGTATAACCCAGTTTTAATAATATATTTAGTAAGAGAGATGAAAAATAAGATGAATAAAAAAATATAATGGATATATTTTTCATCATTGGAAGAAGATAAAAAAATTTCTCTCTCTTTTTTGATAGAATGAATAAAAAAATAGAAGAAATAATTTTTTTAATATGCTTATTTGAGATGAATAGAATATTTTAAAAAATAACATTTACTCATTTGAAAAGACGGAGGCAGCCTCACTGAGGACATTAAAGTAAATTCATCCCTTGCAATCATACGTGTTCAGTTTTCCATCCGCTTTCCGCCCGAAATTCCGGCGGGAAAAAAAAAATATGGTGTTCTATTTTTTATCTACTCATTTTTCGCTCATCTATTTTCCTTCGTACCAAACACACTGCATTTTGAACCTTTTTTTTTTCTCTCCTAGTTGTACATATATACTTATTTTTCAAAATATGTCCCCACTGAAATAAATAAATTTTATTATTAGGCCTAATAATTTTGGACACAATATACTAACTCATGTGAAATAGCAAGACAGGTTTAACATGACAATATTGTTGGATAAAAATAGATCTTTTGTTGATTTTGAATTTAAATTATGGTGGTACGTACTCATCAATTTTGAATAAACTTTTATAGATTCATGTTTTATCCTGTGAGAAGAATTACTTAGTATATTTATTTGTTCAAATTGAACATAATATGAATAAAAAAATAGGCTCTATGATAGGTATGAGACAGCTTGTGGATTAATTCTTATAATAAAGTATCACGTAGGATACATAAATAACCCACTTTTGAACTTTTTTTTCGTCTCTCCTCGTTCTACATATAAAAAAAATGATCTTATGCGTTACATTTATCGTTATTCTTTTTATTATTATTGGGTCTTATAAATTTGAATACTGAAATTTACTACCATTCCAATAACTATAATACATTACAAGTCGAACAACCATTATACATATATGTCGAATTGAATTTCAATACTATTGCTTAATTTCAAATCCCTTTATTTCCACTAGTAGTGAAATATGAGGAAGAAGATTCAAATACCAATGTAAAATGTTATGTTTATTAAATTTTTTTACCAAATCTCTCATCTCAAATGATGTAGCATAATCTCTGTCATTAAATATTAATGAGATTCATTTATTTGATGAAAAAAAATTATATTATATTATTTGAGATAGAGATTTAATAAATTTTTTTTATAAATATAGTATGATCCAATATCAAAAAAACACCAAACTCCAACCACCCAATACCCACCACTGCCATGAATGGGCACCTGTTAACACACATGCCAGAAGTCTAGGATATGTTTGGTTTGTGTTTAGAAAACAGTTTTCTATTCTCAAATCTCTAAAAATAATGAAAACATATTTGGTTAGTTTTTTCAATTTCTAATTTTCAAAAAAAAGTGAGAATTGAGATGGATTTTTAGAGAACATGTTGGGACTGTTTTGGTTGAATTTGGGAACAAATTTTCAAAACACAGAAAACACGGGAAACAAGCCCAATTTATGAGATCTCACCATCAATTCCCATTAACTACAAAATAGGAGCACCCACAATTAACTCCAGTTGCTTTCTTATTTTCTGCCGAAGTTCGACGACAATGTATGAGCATCGACGAAGGCCAAAGGTCGACAACGAACAACTGTAGTCTTCTCTCTCACGCAATCCATCTCTTATCTTTCTCTCTCTGCAGCAAATTTGAACAGATCTATATATATACACAGATCTTTGTATATATACAGATCTGTGATTTGTGTGTGTGAGATGGTTGTTTGTGTGGGTATGGGTGTGATAGCTTTGTGTGTGGGACCGTGAGAAGATAATGAGGAGAGAGAGAAGACTCTAGATGATGGTGGAGTTACCGTCGGAGAGAGAAGATACAAAGTGTGATTTTTTTTGGGTCAAAAGTAATAAGTTAAAAATTAATTTTATAAATTATTGTCCAAACAGAGTTTACAATTTTTTGTTTTTTAAAACTATTTTCAAAAATACATAACCAAACAGGTTTTGCAATCTAAAAATTTTTAAAAACACTTCCTTAAATTTCTTCTCAAAAATTATTTTTAAATAATATTTTTTGAGATACAAACCAAACATGACCCTATAATTTTTGGATGTTGCAGCTCCGGTACAAAAGCTAGTTGGTAGGGAAGCACTTTTTATTCGAGTCAGATTTTTGACCCATTTGCATAATGGTACTGAAATTTAATTTATTGGTATTATTTATTAATTTAATTTATTATAATTTTTAAAAATTATGTTATTATGTCAATAAATTAAGCCATAATTTTATATCCAAATAGAATTATTCTTTTCCAATTAGGAAAAAAAAGAAAGCCATTCCACACATTCCAAAGATCAACGGCAACCCTACGTTTATATAGAGTAAATTACACTTTGTCCATAAAACTATTATCTTTATTTTTTTTTATACTCTCAATTATAATTTTTTTTAAATTATACCTTAAAATATTAGTTTTATTTTATAACAGTTGTCAATTTTTTGAAAATAAATGCGCATGTAAGAGTATTTTTAACCATGACTCAAATTTTTACTTAAATTTAAATTAATATTTGAGTAAAAAATTTAATTTGATATAAATAACTTTAATGGACAATCTCAAATTTAAAAAAAAAGAGAAATCAAAATTTAATTGAGGGAAAACCCAAATTTAAAAAAGAGTAAAGATGCCATTGAATTTTTAAAAGAGGGTGAGATTTTGTCATTAAAGATTTGGATAGCGATTTGAGTAAAAAAATGAGTCTCNCCCAAATTTAAAAAAGAGTAAAGATGCCATTGAATTTTTAAAAGAGGGTGAGATTTTGTCATTAAAGATTTGGATAGCGATTTGAGTAAAAAAATGAGTCTTCTTTAATTTGGTATAAATTTAAGTAAAAAATTGGAACAAATTTTTTAGACTTTTTAAACTCAAATTTAAATTTAAGTCTAATTTGAGTTAGGGTTGGAGACACTCTAAGTGATTTGTATTGCCAATAAACAATTGTTTATAATACATATGCAGGTAAAAAATCAAGAAAAATATTCATCAATGACTTTGTTCTTTTAAGCTTTAAATTTTTTTCCTTTAGTCGACCTTCTTTTTCTTCTTAATAATCGTTTTGTTACAAAAGAGGTAAATAAAGTAATAAACCACATCAATGATTTTATTTTTTTAAACTTTAAATTTTCTTCCTTTAATCGACATTTTTTTCTTCTCAATAATTATGTAGTTGCATAAGAGGTAAATAAAGTGATTCTACGTACTTGATGGGAAGTTTTTTGTGGTTTCTCTCTCTCTCTTAATAGATTCTCAAGTCTGTCATTATTTATTAGAGTGATATGAAATAAAATTAATATTTTTGGGTATAATATAAGAAATTTTATAATTAAGGGTATAAAATAAAATAAAGATAATATTTTAGGGGATAAAATATAATTTACTCGTTTATATACAACCTTTATGCGCATATATATGGCACGCTGTCTGTCTCTCTTCTCTTGTGTTCATCTTCTCTTAATCTCTTCTTTTCTCAATGACAGCCCTACACTCCCCTCCTTATTGAATCTTTATCCTTTTGTCTGCTTCGTGTCCTTTTGGTGTCTAAAGTTTTTCCTCTTTCTTCCATCTTTTGTATGTAACTCTGTGTGTGTTTGGTCTGATCTGTAAGACCCATCTGGGTGTTGCTCTTTTCTTCATTTGGGTACCTCAAAATTTGAATCTTTTGGCCAAATCTTTACTGGGTGGTTGTTTTTCTCTTTGGAAGATAATATTTTGATTTAACTCAATCGGTTCATTGTTGTGAATTTTGCGTGTGTGTGTGATTTGGGTGGTCGGTGTGTGAGATTTATTCTGTGTTTGTGTTAATGGGCGCTTTAGAAGAGGGGCACTTCAATGAGGAGCTAGAGAATGGAGTGAAGGTGGGAGGTTGTATTGNGAGATTTATTCTGTGTTTGTGTTAATGGGCGCTTTAGAAGAGGGGCACTTCAATGAGGAGCTAGAGAATGGAGTGAAGGTGGGAGGTTGTATTGAGCTGGATTTTGAGGAAGAACCGGAGACTTTGGCAATAGAAGTTGCCGTGAAAACTCTATTGCAGGGTTTGGGCGAAGATTTTAATCGCGAAGGTCTCCGAAAAACGCCCTTTCGTGTCGCCAAGGCCCTTCGAGAAGGAACCATAGGTTAGCTTCTATTGTCTTCTCTCTCTACATTCCTTTGTGATCCCCTCAATTATGTCAAAAAAGCATTATAGTTTGATTTCCTTGGATCAGCTGATTTTGTATTTTTTAAAGAAACATTGGATCTATGGAACATGAAAATTTTCTCATCTTTTCATCGTTTGTAGAGTTTACTCGAGGATTATTGTTTGTTTGAACTTGTTTAATAACTTATAACCTGCTAAAAACCAAAGTAGTTACTGTTAAGGACTAAAACTTGTGCTTAATAAACAATGTANTGCTAAAAACCAAAGTAGTTTCTGTTAAGGACTTAAACTTGTGCTTAATAAACAATGTAATAGGGTATATGTACATGGTTTTATAAATGGGCAATCTAAAAATCATGGTTTCGGCCTTTGTGAATTTGAAGGGACTTTGGCCACATCGTTGTTTGCAGTTTGGCCCCCGTGAATTTGGGTGGNTAATAGGGTATATGTACATGGTTTTATAAATGGGCAATCTAAAAATCATGGTTTCGGTCTTTGTGAATTTGAAGGGACTTTGTCCACATCGTTGTTTGCAGTTTGGCCCCCGTGAATTTGGGTGGTCTTCATACGCATCCTTGTTTTCTGTCTGGCCCCTAGTGGTTATTGGATGTGTCTATGAATCTTTATTGGAATCCGTTTGATTTTATTGTTTGAGCTTCAACTAGGATTATGCAAGCGAATACAACCAATCTTTTGGGGCTGATCAACCCCGAGCATTGTGGTGATACTTGGTGGTGATAAGATGGGTTTTGGTCCGGAAAATATGTAAAACAAGCATTGTGGTTTGAGGTTTTGATTAGACAAAAAANGATTATGCAAGCGAATACAACCAATCTTTTGGGGCTGATCAACCCCGAGCATTGTGGTGATGCTTGGTGGTGATAAGATGGGTTTTGGTCCGGAAAATATGTAAAACAAGCATTGTGGTTTGAGGTTTTGATTAGACAAAAAATGGGGCAGTTCTGTGAATGTTTTTAAGTGCTATGAACATTATTGGTGTACAGTAACTAGCATTTCTATGGAGGATAGGGTTGCTATGGTTGACTACCTACGGGAGGCAATCAGTGGACTGATTATTTTATGATTCTTAGGGTTCAAAACAGTGGTTTATAAGGTTTCATTATAGGTATCAAGGTGCAGTATAATAGTAATAACTGTTTAGATTTGTGGCAACCCTATGGAATTTTCCCACGGTCAAAACCCATCCCTCACCTTTTTTTTAAATTTTTTTTCGTACTTTTGCTTCTATCTCATAAAGTTGTAGTGTGGATAGTTTTGTGATCNACCTACGGGAGGCAATCAGTGGACTGATTATTTTATGATTCTTAGGGTTCAAAACAGCGGTTTATAAGGTTTCATTATAGGTATCAAGGTGCAGTATAATAGTAATAACTGTTTAGATATGTGGCAACCCTATGGAATTTTCCCACGGTCAAAACCCATCCCTCACCTTTTTTTTAAAATTTTCTTCGTACTTTTGCTTCTATCTCATAAAGTTGTAGTGTAGATAGTTTTGTGATTGCACAAAAACCCTCCAAGAAAGTGTTCAAAGCTTAGTTGAAAACTATATGGAGAGATTTGTTCTGGCATTGGCTGGTTGAGTCATTAAACATGGTGGAATGGAGGGCATGTCCACTGCTGCTGACATAACGTACTCCTTGCTAAGTAGTTGGTCTATCAGTATGGAGCAAGAAAGATTATGGAAATGGTTATTGCTTATAGTTGAAGTGTATTCTCTCATGTATCTGACTTATAGTATCAGTCTGATACTCATGTTTGTAACTTTATATCCTGGACGTACATGAATTGGGGCTGTTGAACAAATGAATTTTTTTTTAATGTATGACATCCGAGAATAAGTTATTTTTGGCGGTTTGNTGCTGACATAACGTACTCCTTGCTAAGTAGTTGGTCTATCAGTATGGAGCAAGAAAGCTTATGGAAATGGTTATTGCTTATAGTTGAAGTGTATTCTCTCATGTATCTGACTTATAGTATCTGTCTGATACTTGTGTTTGTAACTTTATATCCTGGACGTACATGAATTGGGGCTGTCGAACAAATGAATTTTTTTTAATGTATGACATCCGAGAATAAGTTATTTTTGGCGGTTTAATATTTGCTTGGGTAGCAGACATGTTTGGTACTTTTTTTTAACTAATTTTTGTGGTTGGCTTTTCTGTGAAAATGTGGTGGTAGTTTCGCAGTCGCAACTAGTCATTTGAAGTACTTTTTGTCCCAAAAAATGGCCCACCCACTTGATGGCCCAAAATGTGCTCTTGTTTCCATATTAGAGATAGATATATATATATATATATATATATATATATATGACCCATATGATAGATGTTTTATTCTGTACTTATGCAAATCCACAATATTCTTTGGAGGAATTTGTACTACTCCATGACATGTACTATCATATAACTATATTTTTGGTTTATGAGGGCTACTTGGCTGCATAAAATTTTGGACTTTGAGCAGCTGTTGATGTTTTATAGTAAGGACCTGCTTAATGTGATGAGAGTATGTTGTTAGTTGCAAGAGCTCTGTTTCAAAGGTAATTTGAGTTTTCATATATGGTTCTTTCTGTAAGTTGCTGGTATTTAATGGACTCTTGTAAGGGCACTTCGTGGAATCTCTCTCATCTTTCCTCTTCTATCATTCTCCAGGTTACAAGCAAAAGGTGAAGGACATTGTCCAAGGCGCTTTATTCCCGGAAGTTGGCTTGGCAAGTGGAATTGGTCATGCTGGAGGAGCAGGTGGGCTTGTGATGGTGCGAGATCTTGACCTCTTCTCATACTGTGAGTCCTGCTTGCTGCCTTTCCAAGTTACTTGCCATGTAGGCTATGTTCCATCTGGGCAGCAAGTGGTTGGCCTAAGCAAGCTCTATANTACTGTGAGTCCTGCTTGCTGCCTTTCCAAGTTACTTGCCATGTAGGCTATGTTCCAGCTGGGCAGCAAGTGGTTGGCCTAAGCAAGCTCTATAGGGTAGCTGAAGTCTTTGCAAAACGGCTCCAAGATCCACAACGCCTGGCAGATGACGTTTGTTCAGCTTTACAACTTGAAATCAAGCCATCAGGTGTTGCTGTCATTCTCCAGTGTTTACACATTCACTTCCCAAATTTTGAGTCGGCATTTCTGGATGCAAACCACCAAGGATGGGTGAAGATTTTGGTTAATTCAGGTTCAGGAGTTTTTGAAAATGAGAAGGCCGATATTTGGGGTGAGTTTTTGAGTCTACTAAAATTCAGAGGCATAAATTTAGAATCCGATTCCAAAGGATCTGCTGACAAATGGTGGTGCCCTTCTTGGTCTTCCTCCAATATAGGACCAGCCAGTTCAGGAATGATTACTGCAGTAGCTTCAATTATCCAATCTCTGGGTGAAGACCCATCAAGAAAAGAGCTGATTGGAACTCCTAATCGTTTTGTGAAGTGGCTGATGAACTTTAAGAATACTAACTTGGATATGAAATTGAATGGGTTTGTTCGTGGTAGAATTGCTCCTTGTAATATTAATGGGGAGGCCAGTCCTAATGAAGAACATGTTGAGTCTGAACTAAACTTGCCATTTTGGTCCCAATGCGAACACCATTTACTTCCATTTCATGGTGTCGTGCATATAGGATATTTTTGTGCCGGAGGAGTGAATCCCATTGGAAAATCCCTTTTACACTCAGTAGTGCATTTCTATAGTTTCAAGCTCCAAGTACAGGAAAGGCTCACTAGGCAGATTGCTGAGACTGTGTCATCGGTATTAGGTGGAGATGTCATGGTAGTGGTAGAAGCTAAACATACTTGTATGATCTCTAGAGGGATTGAGAAGTTTGGTAGTAGTGCAGCTACAATTGCTGTCTTGGGTCGATTTTCAACTGACCGTGCTGCAAGGGCTTTATTTTTGAAGAGCATTCCAAATTCTTCCAATTCTGGAATATGATTGCTAGTCCTAATATTGCTGATATATGGTTTCAACAACATATTTTCCTCTTTATGCACCTTTCTTCGACCTGGGGCTGTCTGTTGTGGCACAGGCATAACAGTATGAATTCATACATAGATCTTGAAGTGAACTCGAAGAGATGGGGTTCCTGCTCAGGGAATTTTCAGTGCAAGGTGATTACTTTTTGATATTGAAATGTCAAGATAAATGAGTATTCAATTTCTTTTGGCAGTTATTTTTTTTGTCGGGTCTTTTTGAAAAATAATTCTCTCCTTATTGTTTGTAGCATAGAGATGGCTTTGTACCCACAAATTGCCAATGATTTATCGAGTAATTATTGCCATCAAAGTGCCTTATATTTTCGTCCTTANGGTCGATTTTCAACTGACCGTGCTGCAAGGGCTTTATTTTTGAAGAGCATTCCAAATTCTTCCAATTCTGGAATATGATTGCTAGTCCTAATATTGCTGATATATGGTTTCAACAACATATTTTCCTCTTTATGCACCTTTCTTCGACCTGGGGCTGTCTGTTGTGGCACAGGCATAACAGTATGAATTCATACATAGATCTTGAAGTGAACTCGAAGAGATGGGGTTCCTGCTCAGGGAATTTTCAGTGCAAGGTGATTACTTTTTGATATTGAAATGTCAAGATAAATGAGTATTCAATTTCTTTTGGCAGTTATTTTTTTTGTCGGGTCTTTTTGAAAAACAATTCTCTCCTTATTGTTTGTAGCATAGAGATGGCTTTGTACCCACTAATTGCCAATGATTTATCGAGTAATTATTGCCATCAAAGTGCCTTATATTTTCGTCCTTCTACTTGGGATATATTTCTGTTGTGAAAGTGCCTCTTTTTGGGTTCCTTATACTTGTGATATTGTACTTAGAACCTAAGCTTTCCTCCTAGTGCATTCTTTTTTTATATTGTCGATCCTTGTATCAAAGGTCTTAACCTATATTCTTGTTAACTGATGTTAAGAAACAAAATATATGCTGTTAGATAATAATGTTGCCCAACACCATTCCTGCAACTCGATCTTCCTCCGTCCCTCCCTAGCTAGCATATAGGCAGATTCATGTCCTAAATCAACTATATTTTTACCTATGCATAGCTCCTCTATTGGGTAAGTAGCTTTCTTCTTCCTAAGATGAGCTTCTTAATTATCTAGAGCTCAGCAGTCCAATACGATTCAGATCATAGATAGGCATGTTTGGGGTTGTTGACCCATTTTAATCTTTCATTTGCCCGATCCTATATATATACGAATGTGTTGCATGTAATTTTGGCCCCTAAACATTGGGTATGCATGTTCACATTTTCACTAATGTAGTAGAAGAACTGGAATGCCAAAATATAATGGTTTCCCCCCTACATTTGGGAGTTTCGGCATATTCTGAGATTGATACTAAACTGCATTATGACAATGACTTGACTTTAAAGTCCTCTTTTTTTTGTTTGGTTGGTGACTTGACTTTAAACTCACCATTCCATTTTTTTTATTTTTTTTGTGGTGTTTTGTACGTGATAATACTTGGTAGATGTAGTTTAATTACCATGCTCAAGTACTACCTAATCCCATGAAATATTGAATTAGTCATTACAAACTATATAGGAATGAACCCAAAAAAAAATAAAATAATTTACTATATACTCGTCTCTTCTTTTGTCCTCTCTGTGAACCACCAACCCCTCACCCCAACCAACTCTGCATCTCTCTTTCTCTCTCTCTCTCTCTCACCCACAGCCAATGGACCTCCACTCCCTCCAACTACATTGCCGCCCCTCGGGTCCCATAAAAATAAAGAAAAGTGAATGCAACGTATTAATCCAACAATCTATATTGAGTTAGCAAATAATGGNCTCTGCATCTCTCTTTCTCTCTCTCTCTCTCTCTCTCACCCACAACCAATGGACCTCCACTCCCTCCAACTACATTGCCGCCCCTCGGGTCCCGTAAAAATAAAGAAAAGTCAATGCAACGTACTAATCCAACAATCTATATTGAGTTAGCAAATAATGTNCTCCCTCCCTCCCTAGCTAGCATATAGGCAGATTCATGTCCTAAATCAACTATATTTTTACCTATGCATAGCTCCTCTATTGGGTAAGTAGCTTTCTTCTTCCTAAGATGAGCTTCTTAATTATCTAGAGCTCAGCAGTCCAATACGATTCAGATCATAGATAGGCATGTTTGGGGTTGTTGACCCATTTTAATCTTTCATTTGCCCGATCCTATATATATACGAATGTGTTGCATGTAATTTTGGCCCCTAAACATTGGGTATGCATGTTCACATTTTCACTAATGTAGTAGAAGAACTGGAATGCCAAAATATAATGGTTTCCCCCCTACATTTGGGAGTTTCGGCATATTCTGAGATTGATACTAAACTGCATTATGACAATGACTTGACTTTAAAGTCCTCTTTTTTTTGTTTGGTTGGTGACTTGACTTTAAACTCACCATTCCATTTTTTTTTTTTTTTTGGTGGTGTTTTGTACGTGATAATACTTGGTAGATGTAGTTTAATTACCATGCTCAAGTACTACCTAATCCCATGAAATATTGAATTAGTCATTACAAACTATATAGGAATGAACCCAAAAAAAAATAAAATAATTTACTATATACTCGTCTCTTCTTTTGTCCTCTCTGTGAACCACCAACCCCTCACCCCAACCAACTCTGCATCTCTCTTTCTCTCTCTCTCTCTCTCTCTCACCCACAACCAATGGACCTCCACTCCCTCCAACTACATTGCCGCCCCTCGGGTCCCGTAAAAATAAAGAAAAGTCAATGCAACGTACTAATCCAACAATCTATATTGAGTTAGCAAATAATGTTTGATAAACTATTTGTTAAGTGTAACGGTATCATAGCATTATTGAGTTTCGATTTGAAAGAAATTTTATATGAATGATGACTCCTTAGTATTATAAGTTCCCAGAAAAAAAAACTAACTTAACAAAACAAATCATCTTCTCTTTCAAGGCCGGAGAGGAGAGAATAATGACAACTACTTGACCACCACCGTTACCGTCACCGTCACCGTCAATGTCAATTTGTCCTGACTAGTTTTCAGAATATAGTGGATTGAATGCTACAAGGCTAGTGTATCATTCAACCATGGGTCATATGGGAAGCAGAGGAAGTGGTTTCTCAGAAGCCACTTCAACCAATTGTCCATTTCAATACTGATACCAGTAAGGTGTAGCTGTATCAATACAGGTTCTTGCTAAGCATGAATATCTTAATAGAAGGATAATCATCTGCGCCATACAGCAGCAGCCCATCCGGTGAATCTGGACAATGCCGTTCCAGACGTTAAGAGCNGCCACTTCAACCAATTGTCCATTTCAATACTGATACCAGTAAGGTGTAGCTGTATCAATACAGGTTCTTGCTAAGCATGAATATCTTAATAGAAGTATAATCATCTGCGCCATACAGCAGCAGCCCATCCGGTGAATCTGGACAATGCCGTTCCAGACGTTAAGAGTCCATGGCAGCATAATCAACCATAGCCAATCATTGTGGATAGAAGTTGGGTCATAAGCAAAAATAAAGCAACGAATCAGCATGAAGTTGACAGCTCCACTTAACATGGATTCTTCCCAAACTAACTGTTTCAAGATCAGGTCTCGATGGGAAAGAAACTCTGTACAATATCTGTGCACCAAATGATAAGCATCACATGCTCGATTTTTGCCCAATCCAAGTACTGAAAATCTCTGCTCAAGTATCGAATTTTCCGGGTTGNAAGCAACGAATCAGCATGAAGTTGACAGCTCCACTTAACATGGATTCTTCCCAAACTCACTGTTTCAAGATCAGGTCTCGATGGGAAAGAAACTCTGTACAATATCTGTGCACCAAATGATAAGCATCACATGCTCAATTTTTGCCCAATCCAAGTACTGAAAATCTCTGCTCAAGTATTGAATTTTCCGGGTTTGATTCAGAGAACTACCTGATCAAGAAGACAGCATAATAGGGGTAAGAGATAAGTACTCCCCAGGTCTCATGATTAGGGTTTGGCTGTGGGATTGTGATGGGAAAAGGGCACATATATGGCCCTTTATCTAAAAACCATACACACATCATATATAATAACGAGCATTGCACAAACTTCAGGAAGAAATAACTCTTCCTTCTTTCTTCTCTTTCTGGGCCAAGAGGAAAGGATTTCGAAACATAATATGGAACGAGTGCATAAGCCTCTCTTTGCCACTACACAATACTGACTACTGTTACCTCTTAGATTCTGACTGCACCACATAAACCTAGGGCTGCAGCACAAGAAACCAGTATGACATGATTAACCATAAGCCATGGAGAGAGGAGCTCCTATGCAATAACAGCAGAAATTTACCTATACACAAACTCATGGACAGCAGTTAAAGTAAAGGATTCAAACATTCTGTGTTTTTCCGCTTAGATAAACCACACACTTCTTATAACTATCAGTCCACCAGTTCATAATATCTTGGAAACTAGTTTCTGTAAATTATCCAGAGCACATTCATGTACCCATTACGTTATATATACATGAAACATGAATATTTATTTACGATATGGTACAGGTTATACAAGCATGTGGTATTGAGAATCAGACAATCAAGCTAATCATATTCCGAGCCCAACCACATGTGTCGGATTGCATTCCAATCAGTATGACTGTTTGACTGAGGGAGCCGATCCTTACGAGTATGTTGGAAATGCACAAGATGAATATAGGCTGAGATAATGGCGATCACCAGGATAATGAACCGAAATAAATATGCATGTAGGGATGCTGCATCAACCTGCATGTAATTATGATTAGCATGATTCCCAAGTAGTAATCTGAACCATTTCTTGAGTTTCCTTATAATTTATCCACCTAATAATGTTCATCCTTGATCAAACAAAAAACTTAAAAAAAAATAATGTTCATCCTTGAGTGTTTCATGTGCAGTACGGCATATATTCATGCATTTAATATGGATGTATATTCATAGACATTATTACAAATTCAAGTACTAATGCATCAAACACAAGCACATCATTCATTTTCAATTATGAATATCAATGCAAGAAGAAACATTTCACGGCCACACAGCATATGTGAACATATCATTCATTTTCTTATAATGGAATTCTAAGGGAAACATAGTATACACAATGTTGAATGTGATAGCTTGAAAGAATCGTATAATGCTTGCGGTGCCCAAATAGTTTTTTTCCCTGAATAAAATAAGGCTATTTGTACACTACTCGGTGGACATCAACTGGCTACTACATGAACCACATAAGATCCACTCCCAGGAAGCAACATATGATATGACCTTCGGAATTATATCAAAGGTGCAAAACATTACATCCTTCTGACATTGCCAAACCGCCAATCACTTTTGAGTTATGGTGGCTTCCCCATAAATGCAAACCTATGTAGATAGAGCTGACCAGGGTTAATAGAAAAACTCCCACCATTTTACGATTATAGAGAGTCCGCATTATTAGCANTTGCCAAACCGCCAATCACTTTTGAGTTATGGTGGCTTCCCCATAAATGCAAACCTAAGTAGATAGAGCTGACCAGGGTTAATAGAAAAACTCCCACCATTTTACGATTATAGAGAGTCCGCATTATTAGCAGGCAGGCCATTATCATTACCATCATGAAGATTTTCCAAGATTTAACATTCTTCTAACAAAATTCTTCTCTAATAGTCTTAGTACCGACCAGTCTTAATCTAATGTGAAAGCATCCCTATTAACACATAACCAGCTAGAGTTAGTTTTGTTTTGGCATCTGGTCATAAGCTTCTCCAACAAGAAGTTATGAAAGAGAGACCCAATGGACTCCTCTACACAGTCTATTTAACCAGTGCTCCACGCAACTGCCTCCAAAAGAAAGGTGGTATCTAATTCAGATAGAAGTTGCCAACTTTCTTCCAGAGGATATTGCCTGGTGCAACAATAAAAGCGTGTCAGCCAATTGCGAAACGCTATTATTTTGGTGGTGCAATGATAAAAGCTTGAACTGCCAATTGTGATACATATGGGGTTGAGGGCAGCAGCTTTGTGACAACCATGTCTGATAGTATAGAACTCGATCCAGTCTAAGCATTCCATGTTGCCGGCACCACAGCTAGAAAGCTTCAGGAATGGGTAGATGGACAGTCAATGTCATAGTATTCAGGAACATTGGTACTTAATCTTAGAAAATCACAAACTGCTCCAAGCAAATTTCAGCCAAACCTACTATGAGGGAACTCCTTGCAAATTCTGGGCTGATATGAGGTATGCCAATCTAGTAAGAAATTTTTTGCTCACCTCCCTCTTCTATATTGCATAGTCAGGTAAATGCATGCAACAATGCATACATGCTTGCACGCATGTGTGTATATTTAATTTCTAACAACTCAAGAAAAGACATTCAACTGGCATGATGAAAATTATTTACATAGGATTTACTGAGGACATATTATAATACATAAAAAATAATCACAACTACCTTACATCCCAAAATGAACAAAACTAAAAACAGACTAGCCTGTCATGATTTACTGAGGATAAAGTATGCACTTTGAGTCGGGAAGAGGATAAAAACAATGTCAACAACCAAAGTTGTTACAGTAACTCACAACAATAGTACTGCAAAGTAGAATTGTAATTCAATAAAATTTATTCCAGCAGCATCTATTGCTAAGTTTTGCGAGAATGACCAAACCTTGCCCATAAACCTGCCTTTGACAGGAAGATTTCTATCTGCATGCTCAAGACAGTAACGTAACATGTCAACTATCGCCAACTCAGTTGCTGGATCACAGCTTTCTGCAAGCATTAGGATTCATAAGTAACACATTGAAGATTGTGTATCTCAAACCAATGTCACAGCACAAAAGTATATTTTTCTTTCATGCGCACCACCTGGGATGTCAAATATCTGTGTTTTTGGAGGAATACCGAGCTGCTCTGCTAAATGAACACGAACTCGTGCACGATCAGAAAGTGAAAGTAAATCTCCATGTGTGACTACAATCACAGGCTTGTCATCTGTGATGCAGCAAAAACAAAAACATTGCGAAAGTATTCCAACAAGGCCCGTAAGGAAAAGAGGGAAGAGCAAGCTCGCTGTAGGAAAAATACAAAATAGGATATACAACAAGCAGATTATTTATTTCAGCTCCAATGAAGATCAAGCAGAAGTCCTAGAATCAGCATGTTGGTGCCATGATATTTACACAGGCAAAGATTTAGGACTTGGCACAAACACCCCTCCCTCTCCTCCTTTCTTTCCACCACTAATGTGGTGAAAAAAGGGAGGAAGGGAGGGTCTTGCACATTTGCAATATCATGCATCTGATAACCAACTGTTGAATTTGAGTATGCTTTGAATGAACATAAAAGTGCCTGCTTGTATGGCCCATCAAAGGGAGAGAGAAGGTTTTGGGGCTAATTCTTATCGCTGAAAAGTCATACTAATTAAGAGATCATCGCAAAGAGAATATAATGTCTGGCTTCATCACTGTTTATAAACATGGTGTTCAGCGCACATTCATCATTAAGGAGTATCTAAACTTTTATTATCTGAGCTTTTATCATTCCCCCTTAAATCCAAGTCGTTAAGCAGAAAAGGAAAACTAATGATCCTGGTCATCTTTCTGATCCTAAGTAGACCAAAATAGAAGGTCATAGTAGGATCACTCTAGGCAGAGACTTGTCAAATGCAGGTCCGAGGTTTAACATCCAATTAGTTTTTATTGCAGCTGGTTGACCTTAACATATGATTGATGGAATTTAAATTTTGCTCAATTTTCTGAGGAAGTCTCAAATTCTGTTTGATTTCATGAAGAATGTTGAGCCTCCAGTTATGCATTCTATCCAATTTATATTGCATAATGTTAGATGATTAGCAAAAACGATATTAGCTAACCCAAAGCATTTTCATGAAAGTGCATTTCAATGAATTGAATCAAGAAAATATGAGGAATCGCCTAACAATTTATTAATACCTTTAAAAGACAAGAATGGGCTGTTGAACATTGTGGCAATCATTTGAGTATACCTTGGGCCTGTTTCATCATCACTCTCAATGGCTTTCAATATTGAAAGCCCATTCACAACAAATATGACAAAGTTAACCATCCGGATCTCACTAACTCTGTAACCATTTTGGCGAGCTTTATACTTCAATCTAGTTTTGAAACTTGAATGATCACATTCCCTGCCAAGCAAACCACACAAGCAACAGAATTTACAAATAGGCCAGCTCCTAAAAATTACCAACACTCAGAATGAAAAAGGAATGACTACAGAAATAATATTGACCTGAGAACCAGTTCTCCATGACGAACACCCTTTGTCATCCAACGTTTAAGCATTTTAACATTTTCAGATGAATCGCCAAGGAGACCACGTGTGTCATGTAAACAAAATGAAGTTGAACGTCTTGGGATCATATACTCCTGGAGGAAGTAGGTCCCATCTCCAACAGATGAATTATCTGGCACAAGATTAATACACTCAATGAATCTCTATTACAGTGAATTGAGTTAATTTAATTGCCTAATTCTAAAGTAGGAAAATTTTGACATCACCCATATTTATTCGCAAATTAGAATGAAGAAGAAATGAGATGATAGTCACATGATATTTGTGCCCTTTCTGATGCAAACTTGTCATCTTCAAACACACTTGAAATTTTGTTCACAAGACTACTTTTCCCAGATCCTTTTGGACCAACCAATAAGAGCGATGTTGTCTTTGGGACATCATAGTCGCTCAAGCTCATCCCACCCACCTCCTCGATCCATCCTCCAGGGGTATAGCTGTGGAAAATACTTTATTATGTCAATTGACAGAAGCATAGTCATAGTATCAGCCATCACAAAATTCTCATAATAAATGGGCCCCTCTGCCGTGTATAAGCAATTGCTTTTCTAGTTTCAATGACTAACTCAGGTCCCCTTAGGGAAGCCCGACCAGCCATTTAAACAGTTCCAAGTCATAAACCAAAGCAAAATCTTCAGACTCTTATTGATCAATATGGACACAATTATTCAGCTAAACTAGAATCTGATGCTAATTAGTAATTGCCCTAAGTAGACAGACAAAAATTTTCATTAATGAGATTTTAAGTCATGTCACTGATACCAGGGGTTATTCACGAATGAGAGCGCTTCAATTTCAAGTTAAAACCTTCCAAGCTCAACAGGAAGGCCAAAGAATGTGAATGACATGCAGAAAAAAGATACACAAATACAAATCTTTTAATGAAGATATCATGCTTGTTATTGCAAAATGGCAACACAAGATTCCAACCCCAGTTGTAGGCATTTAAAGCTTTGACAGACACCGTTTAACCTACACCAGCGGAAAGTGATGTCTTGAACAGTACTTGAAGATCACCTGTCTTCCCTCAAGAGAAACTATCTTATTATCTATGATGTAAGTTCCCTATGACTTTGTGGTCAACTATTTCTACAACCATAATTACCTATTTTTGCTAAACAAACTCCGCAAAACTTCTGAATTTATATACTTGCTCTCTATTATCTATACGGCTAATAAAAGGAGGAATAGGTTTGGGGTCCACTCTCAAAATATCTACACTATCCCTACGTTTTATTGCTTAATCACCGTTAACTTCCACTTCAATTACACTTAATCGTACTTAACCAATCAAAAATTTCAATCTAACTGCACTTAAACCATAATTAACTGACCATAACCACCATATAAATTTATCTCCGTTACTCTCTTCTAATTGCGCATATGACTGTTTGATAGACCCACTAGTTTCATATGAAGCATGAGAGGAACTTAGACTCTCACTTGCTGTCTTATACAAATGCAATTGAACTACCTTACATGCCCCTACATAATATTATCATCAAAACGAATAGAGGGAATAATTGACCATTTAAATCACACAAATCAACATAAGGAGGGACATTCCAGACCATTTGAAAATTTCCATTTCCTTAGTTTTCTCTCTACTTAGACAACTTGTGCGCTTTTTCTAATACGTACACACCTTGGGCATTTCCTCTCATGTAAAAGAATCCACACCATTTGACCTATTGGGCAGTTCATGATTCTAGGAACAATGTATCAATATACAATTATTCAATTTCTTTCGCTGCTAAGCAAAGCCACCCTTTTCTTAAAATAAAATTGCCTTTTATTTTATTTTGTGAGCATTGCAAGTTACCACATGCAAAGGCTCCATTTTTTGCAAACGAAATAATTCCCTAAATCACATTCACTCTTTGCAAGTACAGTAACTTAAATATATTACTTGGGTACATTTAGGCAAATCAAAGATGTAAATGGCTGTATCAAAGTTACGTAACAATGGACAAAACAAATTGGTCACTACCAAAGGAAACATTGTGTATAGGCAGTCATCCGCGATGATCATCAAAGAGGTAATAGGTACTAAAACATCAAATTACAACAGGGAAAATCATATTTATATCGATGTATCTTGGGACAATAAATCCATAGAACCTAATAGGTTATGATACCTCAAGATTTTACTTTTGGCCTCCTCCAAAGTGTCACTTCGAGTTCGTAATTCGTCGTAACTTCTCAAGACTTCCCCATAAACATTGTCCATCCGCTTCCGGTTCGCCTGGATTTCCAAGTCACACGCAGAAATTCGGCCACCCACCAACCCATTCTCTCCAGTCACCATATCATCTACCTTCGTGCTTAAATCATCTCTGTTGACACATACAAACCACAGCCAACTGTAAACGTCCCTCCAGTCAACGACCATTCCACAGTACACAATCTCAAAGAAAAGCAAAGACATCACATCACCAAGACATACCTGAGAAAAGAGGGCAAACCAAGTGATTGATCCGAGAAGTCTTGCTCTATTGATGATGATTCTTCATCTGCAACCCATATTCCGCACATTTAGGTTTTCTCACCGACTGTTGCAATTATGCAAAACATCATTCATAGATGCAGAGAGAGAGACTATTACCAGCAGAGAAAATGACCGAGTCGACACGATCACCACCCATGACTGCTTTTTTGCTTGCTATTTTGTTCTGTGTAGTGTGGAGGCTTGTTTTCTCTCACTTCTCTTCTTCAGGTCAGCGATTAGACTCGGTCTGATCACAAACTCTACTTTCTTCGCCGCTAAGACTGAACCAAAAGCAGGTTGTATTTGGGGGTGAGGAAAAATGGGCGGGTACTTGCCACGTGTATATTTTTTCTTTCTTTCACTGACATGTCAATTGTTAGTTGGTTTGTATCGGGTATTTTGGGGCGGTGAATCTGGCTCAGCGGTGACAAAAAATTAAAAGGAGGATTACTATAAATTTTAAGGGAGTTTAAGTATAATTTATTAATTAATATATTTACAGGAAAAGTCTAAGTGTCATACGTGTACAAATTTTAAGAAGTCTGTGTATAATATTTTAAATATCAGGAGGTCTAAGTGATTAAATGACAAATTTCAAGAAGTTTAAATGTAATTCTCCCAAATTAAAATTAAGAAAAATTAATATGCGGTAGTTTTTGGTGATGCGCATTTTGGAGGTAGATAAAAAAGAGGGGGGTGTGTGTGTNCCACGTGTATATTTTTTCTTTCTTTCACTGACATGTCAATTGTTAGTTGGTTTGTATTGGGTATTTTGGGGCGGTGAATCTGTCTCAGCGGTGACAAAAAATTAAAAGGAGGATTACTATAAATTTTAAGGGGGTTTAAGTATAATTTATTAACTGATATATTTACAGAAAAAGTCTAAGTGTCATACGTGTACAAACTTTAAGAGGTCTGTGTATAATATTTTAAATATCAGGAGATCTGAGTGATTAAGTGACAAATTTCAAAAAATTTGGATGTAATTCTCCCAAATTAAAATTAAGAAAAATTAGTATGCGTACAGGTAGTTTTTGGTGATGCGCATTTTGGAGGTAGATAAAAAAGAGGGGGGTGTGTGTGTGAGAGAGAGAGAGAGAGAGGTGTAAACAAGTGGCTTGGTGTTGGAAGCATTGCAGTGAACGGATCTCCGGCGATGGAGGCTCAGGGCCGCAATGTCTGTCTGCTGCTGCGGAGGTGGATATTGGCTGCTGCAGGCTGAAAATATGCAATTTTAACCGCCATTTTGTTAAATTTATACCTTTTTTTTGTTNATATTGGCTGCTGCAGGCTGAAAATATGCAATTTTAACCGCCATTTTGTTAAATTTATACCTTTTTTTTGTTTTTTTTTTAAGTTTTTGAATTTTATATGTAAAGAACATAGGTTAAATCTACATATTTTTGCTATAATCGGAAAAATCCAAATTAGTCCTACCCATGATCCGAATTCAATCTGTCCACATAACAACTCTTATATAATGTTACAAATCATTGCATTGGCAAAATAATTTGACGAAATTACGAACCCCGAAATAATTAAAATCAGCAAACTACTGAGATTTTGAGTGCACAATACAATCCAACAAGATCAAAAAGGATTCATTTGTATTCACAAGAAAATTGTTGAAAAGTCCTCGTGTATTTTATATTAATATTAAACAATCAAAAGGAATAATTACAGGTAATTTCTACTGTCCTTCCTTCCTTCCTTATTCGATCACACGAGCAGCTAGATTGAATTGCTCAAAGGCAATGACCCTTGACGGAAGGAAGAAGGCATAATCAGCAATGCAATGGTCTATGACCACAAAGACGCAATAGCAAATCCAGTAGACTGTGGAACTCTGGTTGATGAATGCGGAATCGTACTGCCATGGTAACAAACACACAAGGAATTAAAAAAACCATCAAAAAATCACAAAACATTGAGACTTCCCCTACTAGTTTATGTCAATTCCCTACTTGTAGTTGGATCTGGAGGTAGACCAACTACTTGGTCAGATTAAGCAGTGAAAGGATTAGGATAAATCCCTCCGCACAAAAGCTTAGATAGAAAAGACAGTGGTGTCGTGAAGTAAGAGCATACAACATGGCCCATTGAAACAAAACTCTGCACCCCACTTGTAGTGGTACACGTACACGTACACCTGCACCTAAAATTTACCTCGATACCTTGATAAAATTGCCAATGTCAATAAATAGTAGGGGAAAAGAAAGAAGGATAAAAAATAAATGAATGACCCCAACTAATCCTAGAATTTCCCAGTATTAATAACTGAAAAGGAAGGTGGTGAAGGAAAGGAAAGATTTGTATTTGTTCAATGCATACACAATGCACAAGGAACTCACCCATTAAGTATCCAAGCCAAAGGCCATGAATACACAATCAGTGGTGGTGTTAGCATGGGATTTAATTAATGCGAAGAACATGCCAAAGAAATATCCACTTGGTGGAGTTAAGAAGTCTTCTTCACTTATTTTTTAAAAGACGGAGCCCCATAACCTGATAAAAATGGCATGAAGGACAAAAATTCCAGGCTCTTCCCAAAACCTGTACCAGTAGAGAAAGAAAGAACAGGAGGTAGGCATATTAACTAACCTGAATGATAATGATNAAAGGCCATGAATACACAATCAGTGGTGGTGTTAGCATGGGATTTAATTAATGCGAAGAACATGCCAAAGAAATATCCACTTGGTGGAGTTAAGAAGTCTTCTTCACTTATTTTTTAAAAGACGGAGCCCCATAACCTGATAAAAATGGCATGAAGGACAAAAATTCCAGGCTCTTCCCACAACCTGTACCAGTAGAGAAAGAAAGAACAGGAGGTAGGCATATTAACTAACCTGAATGATAATGACAGGGAAGACTCCACTGGTATAGTGGATCCACAGTTATCAGGAGGAAGCACCGACCAAAAACCTGAAATAGGATCAACTTTTTCAGATATTAAACTGCATATAACTACCTAACTTTGAATAAGAGTTGTTGCAACCATGCTTCCATCTCCCATTACTAAGTCTACCCAAAGTCGAGTGAGATTCCATACAAACATTTGGAACTAAAACCTCTCCTCTACCACAAACCTAAATGTAGGAACATCTTTATAACGGGGATATATTCAACCATTGCTACATAAAACCTTGATATACATCCCATATTTCTATGCGCAAGAGAGACCTTCATCTGGCCTTTGCCGCATTGGACTAAGGAAATTATGCATTGCACTGGGATAGAGGTGCGCTTCATTAGAATCATATTAAACCTTATGGTGGAATATGTAATCTAACAATCATTTTCTAAGTAGTGCACCGCCCACTATCCCAATCTGGAGATTCATTACTTCATTCCATAATGACGTCACTTATAAAATAAAATTGGAGATATTTACCTGGCTTTTGAGAGTGTTGACGAGAACTGGAGCAGAACAGCAGATCCTGACATCAGAGTTTACAATCTTTTAAGATATAGTGAAGAAATTTGCTTCACAGTCTGGATTAATATGAACTAAAAAGATTCATTCACAATATGTTAAAGCAACATTCCAAAATTTAACCCCAAAAACTTACCTTTCCTGTACTTTGAGCCTTATGGACCAACTCTGCGAAAAACAATTCCACACCGGATAAATATGAAGCGATAGGGTAAGACCAGGTGTGGAAACAACTATATCACAATCATCATGTAACTAGTATTGGAGATACAACAATATTGGATAGTTTAATGGTTTTTCCTTCCACTTTCCTTACTAGAATGGTAAGGCTAAGGGCAACAGAGCTCATCAATGAATGACATACTAATTATTCCTTCAAATACAATATAATATAACCCTAGACATAAGTTTAGATTACATATATTTAACATAAAGCAGAACAGATTAGATAAATAAATGACAAGTGTAAAATCCAATCATCACAACAAATGAAATAAAATTCTGAATACATATGGTGTGTTTAAACTCCTTGTTTCAACTTATATATCCATGTTTTCTAGAGCATTTTCAGAAACAATTCTATAAAAGTGAACTCATTGCAAAAAATGGAGTGATCCTCCAGATGCAAGAGAAAATCTATTCTAAATGGCAAAAGAAACACCAAAAAGCAAAGTTCTGTTACCCATGTTGGAAGCGCTAGGGTTCACGGCCAGTGTCAAGCCAAGAAAACAGTCATCTGTTCCGGTGCCAAAATCCCAGAGGCTTAAGTCAAGATTTGGCTTTGCCCCTGCAAAAAGAGGCAATGAGTGAGAAATGCAGTGAGCAAAAAAGTATTCTGTGCCAAAAAGTACACACAAGACCGGATAACAACCAAGTATACTCTGAAAGACTCACCCAGCTTATTATTAAGCTTTGGCTGAAGGGCATCCACAATTGGACGAGGAATCCACATACAATCCTATACATTGCACACGTTAGGTAACTTAACAAAAAAAAGAACAAAAATGTTGATGACAATACTGAGGTCACAATTTACATTGAAAAAAGGATGCTGTAAGCATTGCTCTGCAGTTGGTCTCCTTAGTGGGTCCCAAGAACATAGTTGCTACATAAAGTCAAGAACCAAGTTAACATTAACTTAATAGATGAGGGAGATTATATAATCAGAACCCACCTTGATCAAATCAATCGCCTCCAGGCTTGCATTAGGAATGATGTCCGACAAATTGGCAGGCATAATCTGCCAGAAAAGGAAAGAATAAACAATCTTAGCCACAATATGGGCATATGCAAGGGAGAGAGGGAGAGAGAGAGAGAGTCACAAGAACAATTGCAGACCAAGCATCAGTCCAAATAAAACCTTACCTCTAAATAACTAAAATTAACCAATGATGAAGCATTCCTAGCTTCTGGAAAGGTAGTCCAATCTGGCGTACCAAGAACACAGCATATCTTGTACAACTGATCTATCTCACTGACAAAACAAGAACTAGATTTGTAAGCACAAATCCTTTCCAAATAAAAGACTCCCCACAAAAATAAGGATTATTCAGGTTTTGAAATTCATTTTCAAATTCAGTATTTCAGCAGAAAATTTTTTGTAAGGCACATAGCTATATAGGAAGAACTGTGCTGCCGGTAATCTCAATGTCTCATCCAAGAATGGGGGCAAAAGGCATCAAACAAGGCATAAACCAATCATCTATCCGTTTGCAACTATAAGCACGCTTATACGTGCTAAAAATCTATCAAGTCATCAAGCAAAAAGATCGTTTTTCATATTTATCACTTCATGACAAGATCAAAACTATGTAACATTACCTTTCACCAGGGAATATAGGGCACGAAGTGAAAAGTTCAGCAAGTATTGCACCAACTGCCCACATGTCTGCAAGCACTCCTTTTGTTAGACATCAGTCGACAAGGAAAACAAGCCCGGAGTACAAAATCGTTAAGAAGCATTAATGGGAAAAGCAGCTAGAACTCCACCCACAACTTTGTAATAGCAAATATTTCATTTCACTAAAATTTAATGGGCATATTCTATTTTACCCCTGCAATATAGCTCTTCAACACTTCACATTTTTATTGTTCAAATATAAGTACATACATAATCCTCGTCTGGTTGGGAAATTTTGACCCCATTGACAGTAATGATCAAATCACTTTGAAAAAATCAGAATAACACAACCAATCTCTGTCCTTCGTACTACTGCCACCAATCTCGACCAGTGCCCTCCCACACTCAAATCATAACCATTGCCAAAGGCCCAAATCAAAATCATTGTGTCCTCTCTCTCCCTCTATAACAGCTCTTTGATCTAGTCAACACATAACCCACGTCAGATGGAAATCACCATGTCACAATGGACATGCAGCTTGACGGGAAGAAGTAATGTACACTATTCATCCGATGGGAACTAAGTAGCTCACCAAGGTTCATAACAGACACCTATTGGCAACAAGAGTTTTTGTATTGTGGCTATGAGTTGAGTTGAAATGAAGCTCTTAGCTATCATGGTCGTGGTAAGGATAAATTTCTCGGAGCTTTTCCTGGTAAGGATAGAGAGGGAAAGTTATGTTTGATGATTTTTGTTGATGTCTGTGTAGAGAAAGAAGGTCAAAAAACTTTCATTGCAAAAATGTATGAGAATGAATTTAGTAGTGTTGAAACAGTGTACATTAGGAAGTGTCAAGCATAGTTCTATTGCATTGAAGACAATGTATAATTCAAGTGGGGGTGAAAGGGTTTATACCGTTGTGTGTTGTTTGTTTTCTTTTTGTGCTTTGTTTTTTTGTGTTGTTTTGATAGTTTGTTTGCTCCCTAAAAAAGGGAAAAATGAAATTAAAAATAGAGAGCATGAGAGGCGCTCATTTGTTGCAAGGGCAATTTGGCCTTTTGATCATAACAATTTGGTTGGAAAATAGGATTTTCCCCATTTCACTTGGGTGTGTACCTTGCACACCATGTCAGGTTGGACAGAAAATTTAATGGTTGCACCTTGGTCCAAACCCACATGAGGGTTTTGTGGTTTGAATTATAAGGGGGTAAAGTGTTAAAGGGGTAAACCATATTAGGGTGAAATAGACTTTTCAAAAAATGAATCAAAAGAATAAAAATAATGGTTTTAACGGGGCCGATACCCTTTTTAAAAATTATAGGGCATAAAATACCACTTTTAAAAATATAGGTCAAAAAGTACACAACCCTTAACAAATCTCTCTAAAATACCCCCTTCACTAAAATGGGAACCGATTCTTATATTTTTGCCTCCACAACCGAAACTTAAGGAATCTCAAGTTCTCAATTGTTACACATAGATCCTTTAAATATCGCCGGAAACCCCATTCTTCCAAATATTCCATAAAAACCTCCTTCTGGATTTTCAAAACATCTTGTTAATCGTTGCTGAAGAAGTGAAAATCACAGCGAATAAGAGGAAATATTGGTATCAGACAGTGACGACCATACTAAAATTCATCACAGAAGAAGAAGACCGTCAAAATTTTTGAAAAAGAAATTGATAACTCAACAAAAATGTTGTTTCTCCCAACGTTTTTATTTATTTACATTTTCTTCCCTCAATTACCCTTCTATTTCTGGTGCTTGGTACTACATGCACACCAAGTGTTCGATCATTTGCCCAAAAAAAAAAAACCAAAGAGGCCATATACATTGTGTCATGCGTCATGTCAATGTATGCAGGGTGACATTGACTTGCAGTAATGTGACATTTGTTTGTAGCAGTATGACATTTTCTAGTACCAGTGTGACATTGTCTTGTAGCACTATGACATTATCGTGCAAGGCAGAAAATCATCTTCCGAATCAGAATCATCATCTTGATTATTATGATCATCCCCATTTGATTAATCATCATTGACATTTATCCTCACATGAACATGATTGACGTTAACAAACCGTAACGATTTTTTTTTTTTATAAAAAAAAAATATATGAACGACATACCTGATGCAATTATTCCATTACAACTAACTGGAATATGTTTGAAAACCCGGTTACAGAATGGAGTGAATGACCGAGGAAGAGGTTTGAATGATAGAGGAATAGGTATGGAATATTTGAATAAACGGTTGGTCAATCACACATGACTAGGTAATTTAAAATTCAAAAAAAATATAGCATAAAATTAGGAAACTGGATCTCTAATACAACTGCGATATTTGTCTCCAATTAATAAAAGAAAAAGACAATTAAGTAAAAGAAAAAATTATAATTCAGAAAAAGTGTACCTCTTCACCAAACATTTATACATAAATATACTTATACACATATTTTATATTGAGATACTTTTACACAAATAAGTATGAAAGGATATACTTTACACAAATAAGTATGAAGGGGTAAACTTTTTCACAATTTTTCCTAAAAATAAAACCAAAAAACTCCTACGAAATGGAAAATAAAACTTGCAAGAAATAATCACCATTTATACCAAAATTAAGAGTAAAAAGTCATGTTAAAATAAGGATACACTCGAGATCCATTTTCACCCAAAATAATTGTAAAATATTCACATTAAAATAAGAATTTTTTGGGGATCATTTGAGACACTCTCATACCATTCCATGATATCAAGTCATTTACATAGATAAAATGCCACACTATTCACTTGAGTAATTGAATGACATTTGATCCTGAATGCTACAGGTACATAGAATAGAAATTCTGCAAAGCAAGTAAAAATGCAAAAGCTAAAATTCTTTTAAAATTTGTTCCTTTGCACCATTATAATGAGGAAAATAATATAATTTAAGACTAAATAAATGTTAAAAAATCCAAATGTGCGCATATTGTACTTACAGAAATGCTCAACTACTGCATGTTATGGTAGGTTAGCATTGTGACCTGAATTTTAAGACAAAAATGCCACCAATTCCTTTTTTTTTTTTTTGTGTAAAATATTGTGTAAATAATGCCAAAATTTAGGTCTGTACCCAATCTATCCTTCCCAGATCCCCAATTATGGGGAATAAACTAATTATTTTTTTAAGAGGATAGCATGGTAATTTGAGGTCCCTTTTGCCATTACCTTAACTAGGGGTGCAACTTGGGCGGGTCAACCCGAATTCATCTCGAGCCCAACCCGAAAAAAATTGGATTTGGATTAGAATTTTTAATACTTGGGTTAGGTCTGGGCAAAAAAATCTCAATCCGAATTCAATTCGGGTTGAGGCATCGGGTTGTCAGGTTCAACCCGAATATTAAAATCGGGTTGAACCCGAATATACATAAATATATTTAACTAGCGTTAGTATTAATCTTCACTCTTTAGAGTCCATACTTTCATTTCACTTCAAGTTTTTACCCCTGCAACTCCATCACTCTCAGATCCCTCTCTCACACATCATTCCTCCCTCTCTCTCACTCATCATTCCTCCCTCTCTCTCAGCCTCCCTCTCTCACTTGTCACTCCTCCCACTCTCTTCATCTACGTCTTGTCATTTATCTCAGATCACTTCAAAAAATTAGATCTACACTTCAAAAAATTAAATCTACACTTCAAAAAATCAACCCGAATTAAGTAACTCAAGTCCAACCCGATTTTTAACCCGAATTAAGTAACCTAAATTCAATCCGAGCCCGCCCAAATTAAACTTGGGCAGTACTCAGGTTGAGTACCTCGCATTGAAGTAGGATTAGAGTTAGAGTTAGGGTTGAAGATTATATTCCTAGGGTTGGGTTAGGGTTGACCTCTCAACCCGCCCGAGTTGCACCCCTAACCTTAACGATGTAAAAGCACTCTTGCTCCCAATTTCCAATGAGAAAGGTCACCGCCACTGCTATTCATGAAAATCATATTTTTTATCATGGCCTTTTGCCTCCCTCCCTCCCTCTCCCAAAATGATATCAAAGACCCACCTCACCATACTTCACATTACCCTGCCCTAGCAGCAACCGGTAGTTACCAAAACTACCTGCATATCAATATGCCTCCTCCCCATTCTCCCTCTAAAACCAACCCAATTCTGTCTGTTTCAATCTGTAAAGTAACTCAAATTCATCTCTTTTTTTCTATTTTGGGCCTTAGATTCACAACTGTTTAAACCCCCTATATCATCTCCTGAAAAAAAAAAAAATTTGTGGTCACAGTAGGTACAGCTAGTGTCTTGTCTAAGAGAGATTGGTGAATACAATACATGACTTCAAGGGGTTTTGGACCTGAGATGCCAGTTAAGGACACAGATCGTGGAAAATTGAAGTGACCATACAGCCCTCGTAAATTTTAGGCATTTTTGTATTTAAAATCGGGCACCGGCACAATGTAGTATGTGCCTAACTTAATATAGGTACATTGTAGGTAGCATTTTCTTCCTATATTGAATCATAGGTATGACGCATGTATTGCTAGATGCATTCATCATTGGATATGTTTCACCGAATTGTAGGGATCTACCTCAATAATGTATGGAACTATTTGTTGACAACATTTACTATGTAATTGTGACGTCATAGGATTGTTGAACAACTTAAGCAATTCCAAAATAATAGAATTATGAATACAACATTTTTGTCTAATGCATTTCCAGAAAATGAAAACAATTGGACCAAATGGCCTAGGTTGGTTGGGTGCTGGTTGATGCCTTAGTACAATTGGTCAAAAGTTGCAAAAGTAAGAGACTAACCTGTTTAAAAAATTACGTACGGCTAATTGGTTTACAGTATATCATGCAAGCGCTAATCGGACTCATCTCACAAAGACCATAGGTCATAGCTCAGTGCAAGGAATTAATGAGATTCGATATAAATACAGATATAAGTACAATGTTGGGCTGCAGAGATTTCAAAAGGAAAATGGAAGGAAAAAACTCATGTTTGACAAATGAAACCTGTTACAATAAGGGATACTGCTAAGATGATCACCCAACTGGGAAATCAAAAGAGCTCTTCGATAACAATAATAACAGAGACAATACAGATATTTTTTCAATACACTGCAGCACTTTATGTCAATCAAAAAGGGAATTGCAATGCTGCTTACCTATGGCAGGAGTATATAATGGAGATTGCAACAAGACTTCTGGTGCTCGATACCTTATGTAAGAATAT